GCTATAGTTAAAAGCGAATGAGAGCATTTGGGTGTTTTTTCCTAAAATTACTAAAAAAAAAGACAAACTGAGGGCATTTTTGACTTCCAGTCATATGCCAGTACCAATTTACCATCGAAATGAATGAAAAAGTTATGCTGGTAACGGCTTTCATATTGGCAAAATCGATACTTCTTTGGCTTTCAGCCTTTACTTTTATTCACCAATTGATCAGTTTGGTCCGAATTAAAATCCTTATATAGTTTAATGTGTGAAATGTAAGTTTAATTAGGATTTTGCTCTGTCTTTTTTTAAATGAAATTTCTGTTTCATCGTCTATAATTTACTGCTTTTCCTCCTGTTCAGCAACGTACGTTAACTTTCCATGTTTGCTGTAATTGAAACTGTATTAGCTTATGGTCAATCTGCTAGCGTGTTTCTAGTGTATTCGTTCGGTACTTTTTTTCTTTGTATTTTCTCGTTTTGACCGGAATATCTGGACTGATCAGTAGTGAAATGACCGTTGATCAAGCTTGTTCAATTATCCAGGGTACAGCAAATCCCTCAGGCCCTATTCTTTGGTATAAGATGCTAAGTGTTTCATCAACTTAATAAAAAGTTATAATAGGAAAGAATGGAAAAAGAAAAAGGAGAAAAGTAAAGCAGTTAGTGATAAGTAATTTATCAGCTAAGTGAATTATCAGGTGAATTTATCGATTAAGTATTCAAGGAGAAGCGATTTTTCAGCTTTTGAATTAAGCTGTTTTGCGAGAAAACACCGGGAAATAGTGAAATAAATTGGAAATTTTAAGAATGTTGTGCTTATTTAGTTGTCCCGTAAGGTTTTTTTTTTTATCATTTTTCCTAATTAATCAACTTAATTCCAAGGTATTTTAAGAAAAAACGCCAGGAAATAGTGCAATAAATTGAAAATTTTAAGGATTGTTGCAAATTTAGTTGTCCCGTAAAGTGTTTTTTTTTATTATTTTTCTTGATTCCAGCTGGTACAACCACCCACTCCCGCTGGGCTTGCTTGGAAGACGTAGCTTTGCTGTAGCAGAAGATGACCCAAACCAGAGAGGACCGGAATTCTCTGGCTTTGAAAGCTTCATGTTATCATTTCGAATGATATACTGCTGTAGTTGCATTATCTGTACGAGCAAAATTAAATGTAATAAAATTGAAAAACTTTCACGGGGCCGTACGTATTACCCGCGAGTAAGGGAAGGCTGATTTTGAACGGGCAAGGTTGAGCATGGGCAGTGGGTCATTACCCTAAAGCTTTAGCCCCCTAGACTCCGAGCTTCCCGAGATATTTACTTACCCGTGAAAAACTTTCAGGGGGCCGTACGCGTTACCCGTGGGTAC